GTGACGTATGCAGCCGACAAATTCGGCCTTCGGAGGACCCGGCCTGCCGTTTTGGACGCAGCCTTCCTGTCCTTTGCCTGAGATTGGTGATGGTATGTGCAGTTCCATGTTCAAACACTAGAGCTGCTAATGAGTCAAATAGGAAAGTCCAGCCTAAACCATTCTTACAGAATTCTTCTCTTMTTAAGAAAATCTGAACAATCTTGCAGAAAAAGTATTTCACCTGAAAAACAATGGCTGCATTTTCTCATATGCTGTGTGTTTGAGAGCAATTTATCTATGTACAGTAAAAACACATGTAAATGTGCTAAGGTTAATTTACTGTTSAAGCTTTTYATGACATTACATTACAAGTGTTTGAACATGTATACACCTTACCAAAACCAGGGATTTAAATGCAAGGATGCTGAACAAATACTTGGACCCTCTATGAATATTGTGGCCCCTTGATGGGCCCTTGCTCATCAAAGTCCTGTATCCGCCACTGGTGGTGGGCATGGTTCTGTTAAGCCGTGATTTGTCGGATTGACTTGTGTGGGCGTAGTTTGGGTACAGGCAGCTCGGGGAAAGTGTAACAATTCAGATCGCTAATTTTGCATACGGATAATAATGTTAGTCATGACTCGAGAMAAGATGGTACTGGCCACAGGATATTTGAATGCCTTACATGTGGAGGGATGTGTAACAATATGAAACCCACCTGGACAAAGATAGCGATTTTTATATATCAATATTATTAGTCATAACTCAAGATAAGATGGCACTAACCACACACATTTTGAAGTCAAGAAATTACATGTTCACAATATTTTTACTAATTACCATCATACCTTTGAACCCCACAAGTCAATCTGATGATTTACCCAAATTATGCCCACACCCAAGAAACTCCCACTTGCAGAAACCCAGTTCATAAATTGTGCACTTAATCTCTCTTTGCACACTGCAGTAAGTATTTGTTCATGCTTAGTTTTGAACGTTAAACAATCTAAAGTTAAAATTAAACTGAAAATTACATTTGAAAAACTCTAATGATTTGTCATGAATAGAGAKATAATGTTTGTGACAAAACAGACCTGTAAGCAGCGATCTCAATGTCCAGAGCCATCTTGACATTCAGCAGGTCTTGGTATTCACGCAGATGACGGGACATCTCTCCTTTGGTGCTGTGCAGAGCGGCCTCCAGCTGCTGAATGGTGTCCTACACACACAATTACACACTCACACAATTACACACTCCAATAATGAGAAACAGGCTAAATTATCATAGCCTACTCTAACAGGTTTATGCATCTTGCCTGTATAATTTCTTTCTGTTTCAAATCGATTTTTTGTTTCTACTGAACATTGTGTTGCCTCGAGATCTGCCAAACAGCTTAAGTTTGACCTTCTTGTGTCATTCACTTACTTGCATCTCCCCGATCTCGTTGTTGTGGCGATCTTCCATCTCGGCGATCTGCCTCTCCATGGCTTCATTGTGGCTCCTGAGGGCCTCGATCTCCAGGGTGCGGGCCTGCACCTGTCTGCGGTACTCACTCAGCTCCTCCTTGGAGTGCTTGATGGCGTCCTGGTTGCGCGCCGCGGCCTCGGTCACAGTGGCAAACTTGGAGCGGTACCACTCCTCTGCCTGGACCTGGTTCCGGGCTGACAGGTTCTCGTATTGGGCCCGGATGTCCTTCAGGGCCGCGGCCAGGTCCGGTTTGCTCATGTCCATCTCCACTGACACCTGGATGAGAAGAAACATATCCAAAAATCACGAGGAAAGGAAAACTTTTTTGTGTGTTTGCAAACATTTGAAAGTCCTAAAAAGTTTGTTTTTTTTCATGAGAAACTAACTAATCTGACTAAGAATGAGTCTGGCYGATGTGTTCCCAAAACTACCCATTTTCTGTTTTTCACAGCAGCAAACTATTTGTTTGAACATATTTCTCTGTGTGGTWTTAAGATGTAGGAGGTGTGATCTGCTGAGCTTCAGTCCAGGCTGCAGGACTGATGAGTGGACTGCTGACTCAGGAGTTCTGTTGCAGAAAGCTGTGCTGTCAGTACATAGTATTATTCCCTGCAGGTATAACAGAATGACCACCCTGCAACACTGCCTGAATAACTTTAGGCATAGATGTTCAAATGTTCAGTGACAAACAGAAACTGTGGGCACATTTTTTTTCCTTTTCAATAAACCATCTGCAACGCAGTGAGTTCAAAAACTCACCCAGACTTGTCTTTTTGAATTTTGCTGCAATAATTCTTGTATATTTTTAGATAGGATGCTGCAGGGACGTTTATTATCATCAGCCGCACCATCAGCTGCCAGCTGTCCTGTCATTGACCACACCCTGTTAGTGCGCATTTATTCCGTATTTGTCCCCCTGCTGCACCTTCCTTACATTTTTCACCACATCTCGAGTTATTAACTCACTAAAGTCCGGTCAGCCAGCACCTAACTGACATCTAACCTGAAAGCACTTAACTTTTTTCTCACTGTGTCTTRTTGAGGGACACACAGTTATAACATAAAGATAAACACAAGCTTGGCGCGGCAGGTAGGAGGCGCGCGCCTGCTGCTGCAGGGACAGCRCGCGGTGCTGAACTGCAGTGCCATCAATTCTCTGCGCAGCAGTCTGTGGAGGACTCGGAGTCAGAATGACGCATTTAAAAAAAGAAAAAAGTTTTTAGAAGTRCTGAATGTCAGAAATAACACTTCCTGGCTTTAGGGTCGTGACTAGTCGGGTCAAAAATGACTGTTAGGATTAGTTTAACAAACACTGTTTTGGTAAGATGTGTTATGAGGTTAGAAGTTGCAGGAGTGTGTGCAGACGCGTCTGTGCCACGGGCTGCTGTCTACCTGCGTGGCCTGCAGGGACGCCTGCAGCTCTTGCAGCTCCTCCTCGTGAACTTTCCTGAGGAAGGCGAGCTCGTCCAGCAGAGACTCCACTTTYTTCTCCAGCTCCAGGCGCACGAGGGTGGCGTCGTCCACGTCCTTGCGGTAGCCCTTCAGGGCGTTCTCCGCCTCCTCGCGCAGCCTGCTCTCCTCCTCCAGCTTCTCCCGCACGCGCTCCAGCGTCTCGCTCATCTGCACGCAGTCCAGGTGCATCTGGCTCTTCTCGTGCGTCAGCTCCTCGACGCGCGCCCGCAGCTCGCGGATCTCCTGCTCGTAGAGCTCGTGCAGGCGCGAGGGCTCGCTGTGGCGCTGGCGCAGCAGCGTCACCTCCGCCTCCAGCACCTTGTTCTGCTGCTCCAGGTTGTGCACCTTCTCGATGAAGGACACGAAGCGGTCRTTGAGGCCCTGCAGCTGCTCCTTCTCGTTGGTGCGGATGATCTTCAGCTCGTTGGTKACGGCGGTGGACTGGGTCAGGTCCACGTTCGAGTCCGGGATGGAGGAGAAGACGCGGCCGGGCGCCGCGCTCCGGCGGTAGGTGGTGGAGGACACGACGGAGGGGGAGCCATAGGTGCGGTGGCTGCTGCGGTATCCCGCCGGGTGCAGGCGGGACGGGCTGCTGCCCAGACCCACGCGGCCGCTCCGGGGGGCTTCTCCGAAAATCTTCCGGTAGGAGCTGCTGCTGTAAATCTCGCTGGAGTAACTCATGGTTCCTCTGGAGTCCTGGCCTCTGCTGTAGCTACAGGGGAGAGAACAACAAAAAAGTGTGTCTGCGTGGAGTTCGGGAGTGATGGTGGAGTGCGCGTGGAGAGAAGAAGTGGGATGCGARTGATGTCTGGTCAGGACAGGTGCTTTTATAGTCAGAGCGCCGCGGCGCATCATCTGACGCAGCATCAACAGGAGCTGAGGGGAGACCTCCCCCCGGGAGACACGAGTCACTCATGCAGCTCGTCTTTTCCTGTCCTGCACCCCCAAGCAGAAACTCAGCAACTCAARCCCGCCACGTTTTATACTCATGGCTCAGTCAGGAAACTTTTAGATTCAGTCAACAGCTGCTTTTATTGTCCGATTTTACCGAATAAATAAATAAAATCTATTTTTTTAAATCACTTTGTTCAGTTTTTATTTCTTGTCTCGTGTTCCCTCGGCCTCCTCTGTCCATTGTCATTGCATTTTCTTTGCTGGCCCAGCAGAATGCCAAATGAGATCGATGTGCAGAAGTGGCCAGTGTGGGTGCTGCAGTGTGCAGCCAGTCGCCCTCGTTCCCCTCAGAGCCGCATTATGGGATGCATTGTTCCCACTCCTGCACCCTCAGGACAATGTTTCACAGCATGAAGCAGAATGATCAATAAATATAAAACCACTGGTGCTGATCTAAACTTGATGCCCTCAAATAAGTAGAGCTGCACWGTGAGGAAGGAGGATCAGCTGTTTGGGAGCTGGCCTTGGTGCTGATTCAGACGACGGCATGAGGAGAACCACGCCCCAGTGAGGAGAGGACCCCTCCACTCACAGGACTGCAGCCCCTCCACCTCTACAGCTCCAAGGCGCCTCCGGAGCTGTTGAACAGCCTGCCTGTCTGGCCTGCAGCCCAAACAATAAACATCACAGCAGACTGCCGAGAACACAGGAGYCCTGCCCTGAAAGTTAACACAGAATCATTTTCTTAACAAAGCAAAAGTTTACAGCAAAACTGCCCGAGTGTTTACTCTGATTTATCCATCTTTGTAAACGTTTTCACTCTCTCAGTCAGCAACTTAAAATCAATTAACCATGTTGTTGACCTTGGGTCAAAACTGACGCCTGAACATTAAGTCCCTATGAGTTAGAGAGTGAAAGGTTTTGTCTCCATGTTTGTCCCTGTGATGTGTTTGACCTGTCCAGGGTGTACCCCACCACTCACACAGTGACTGCTGGATGTGGGCACCAGGGACCCCCATGACCCTGAAACAAATAAGCATGGAAAATTCAATGGATGGATCTAATATCTTTCACATTGTTTCATTTTAACTGTTCAGTCTATCAAAGCCTTCAGTTTGGAGCAGTGGGTTGTAACTTTTGGTTTCTTGAACTTTTATAGTTCTTTTTAAACACAGTATTAAACTTGTTTTAAATAAAACAATTTCCACAAAATATCAGCTCGCTTTAGTTTCTTCAAAAACACAGTTCTCTTTTTGGAAACTGCTTCAGAGCTGACCTCAGGGCCGCTGTGGCTACATAGTTTACCGTTATTGGTGTATGTGTGTGAATGTGTGTGTGAATGTGTGTGTGAATGTGTGTGTGAATGTGTGTGTGAATGTGTGTGTGAATGTGTGTGTGAATGTGTGTGTGAATGAATGATGCCTGAAATTGTAAAGCATCTTTGACGGTCTTGAAAGTACTATATAAGACTAATACCTTATTAATATTATTGTTTTTATATCTTTTGAATGGGTTCTAAACATTCAAAAACGTCATTATTTTGCAGTTTTTTACATGTCTATTGTCTTTTYATAGAAACATATTTTGTTATAATCAAACATGTTTGTAACTGAAGTGAATGTTATACAGTATAAGCTATTTTAGCTGCATTTCTGATACGTTCAGCTTTTAGCTACTGCTTTGCTATTTTTAGATATTCTTCTGCTTTTTTAGGTTTTAGCTTCAGCGTTGCTAATTTTAGCAATATCTTTGCAGATTTTAGCTTTAATATCTTGTTTTTTTACTGTTCTGCTGCTTTTACATTGTACTTTTTTTCCAGTCTCTGTTCTGATCATTTTAGACTCTGTTGGGTTTATTTTATTTCTAACAACTCAGTTGTAGGAAAAAAAATCAAAAAGAAAAAAATTGCATATGTCTTTCTTGTCTAATGAAACGTTTCGTCTCTCCTCCAAGAGACTTCTTCCGTCTGAGAGTTTCAGGCAAAATTCAGGCTTTTAAGCCCTGCCTCCATGTGAAAACTCAGTTCTAGCTTCTTTTGCTAAGTTTAGATATGTCATTCAGCACACAGCATTCACTTTTTTATTATTATTTACCTTTATTTAACCAGACAGGTCCCACTGAGGTCACAGTTTTTTTGCATGAGAGGCCTGACCTTGAAGTCAACATGTATGTGTTTTGGACTGTGGGAGGAAACCAGAGTTCTTGGAGAAAGCCCACATAAACATGAGAAGAACATGCAAAGTCCACACAGAAAGACCACAGACCCAAACYGGGGATCAAACTAGTCATGCTGTGAGACAACAGTGTTAACCACTAATCCAATACCCTGCTACATGATGTCTCTGATTAAATCTAAAAAATAAAATGAGTAATACTAAAGCTTTTACAACTTAAGAAGAAACTACTTAATTTTTATAGAGAATATAAATTTATAAAATCTAAACTCTGACATAAGTAGAGAAAAGAACAACTTCTTGTCTTTATTGTCACATCATCAATTAGAATAGTTAAATTTAAAATACAAATCTTGTTCAGTGGTTCAAGGATGCGTTCGGGATTTGGTGAAAAATATTTTTCTTATGTTTTACAGCTTTAATCTTCAGATTTCTAATAAATCTTATGGTGTGATAAGAAATGAAATGAAAGGAACTAGAAACTGTTGCCTTAGTTGTTTTGCCTTTTACTGGTACAAAAATCTTTCGAAGTTACTGGTTTTATTTCTGTTTTTTTTTACTGCATATATCTCCTAGTTTGTAATGTTTGCTTCATTTCCTCTTTGTACATTTAACTTCTATTTATGATCTTTTGTAGTGTGTCATTATCATGACCACATACTTTGAATAATAGATTTCAAATCTTAATGGGACCTTCCTGGTTAAACAAAGTATAAATAAATAAATAAATAAATAAATAAATAAATAAATAAATAAATAAATAAATAAATCACACCATCATGCGCCACAGAAACAGTAAAAACACATCAGCTGAAACCAGCAGAGGGCGCTACAGCCTCAGAAACAGAGCTGCTGMTGCTGAACTGAACATGTCAGGATGGAAATTATGTGGTGCTTCATATGAAGGTGTGAAACCAGAGGAATACAGTTTAGAGAAAATCCATCTGATTGTGAAAAAATCARACTGCATATCTCTGAGCAGGGAAACTCTGTAGGTTTAGTTTAGGACTGTGCAGCAGCTACAGGCCCACACAGTGACTCAGCAGAAAATGATGGGTACATGAAAAAAAAATCTGTCTCTTTCTTTATCATTATCRTTGTTTTTATTAAATGTTATGAGCTTAAACAGAAGCAGTGTCTAAAAACCTAAGTGTAAAATGCAGAGAAACGTTCAGCTGTTGTATTGAAAGACACCTTCATGAAAACAGATGTTTGCTGCTCTGGAGCACACAGCTGGGCTTTAATAAAACAGCACCAGCACTGATGTTAGACAAGGAATGGTTACTGCCTATCAGTATTAAATGGTTGATGTCTTATAAGTTCTCTTGAGATTATTTTTAATTCACTGAGAATAAYACAAAAACTTCCATTTCAAACTTGACTGGTTTTAGCATTTAAAAATGTAATGTCAATTATAGGTGAATTAGAAAAAGGAAAACATAGTCCTGTTGTGGAGGGGTACAAAAAGAAGGCATTTCTCAGTCAAATGAAGAGTTTGTGTGTGTTGACCTGATGTTCAGGTTGGGCAGCAGCTGGGTGGGAGTGGAGGGTGAAGCTGATGGATGTTAAGGTGTATAATTATAAAAGATCTGCTGAGGTCAATGTTTGTGAGGGGATTGGTCGGCTTAGAGAAACAGTTACTGCAATAAAAGAGTGAACTACCTCCTAGCATCTGAATCATGTGTGGAAGAGGAGCATGGGAGGAGGACAGAGAGGTTCAAAGTGAGAGTGGGACCCCAGAGATCCTCTCTGAGCTCCTTCTTGTTTGCAACAACGATGAGATCAGGCTGGAATACCCATGAACTGTGACATTTCCAAACATCTGTGTGGACAGAAAGGAGCAAATGGAAGAAAGCTTAAATAGGTAGAGTTGTGCTGTGGAGAGAAGTGGAATAAATTRGTAGAAGAAAGAAAATATTTTAGTTGAGTGAAGCTCTCAGAAGTTGATGTGTGGAAGATGATTTAGTTTAAGCACCAAGCCCTCAAAATAAGAAGTGSTGAAGAAAAGAGTTTAGGATAGGTTAGAGATAGAAACAAGCAGGAGGACAAAAAATAGGCACAAGAGCGAAAGAAAAGGTTTACAGGATGGTAGGGAGACGTGTTATGATGAGTTAAAGAGGTGGGACTGAGTGGATCTGCACTTTTTGTGTAGAAGTTCCTTCTCCCTCATCCAGTCCGTCTCCTCCTGCACTACTCCCTCACACCTGTTTTCAGTGTTGTTTAAAGTACCACAAAGTGATACTTGAGTAAAAGTACAAGTATCTTATGAAAAAAATGACTTTGGTAAAAGTTAGTCTTCTTTAGGAATATTACTTGAGCAAAAGTCTTAAGTATCTCATATTTTTTGTACTCAAGTATTAAAAGTAAAAGTATTGATTTAAAATGAGCAGTTAGATTTTCTGTAATGACATTTATGAGGAGGTGACCTCCCCAAAAAATGCAGAAATGACTGTCTTAATTGATTTATGTTAAATTTAGGATGCACTAGTCCAGCTGTTTCAGTTTATATACATATATCAAGGGTGACCAAACCTTTTCCCCAAAATGAAAATCTATCTGAGGGCTGCGGCCAAATGCAATAATATAATTCATGAAATACAAATACTTCTTAAGTACAGTCCTTTTATTTTAATGATTATGTCCTGCTGGAGTGTGACATRATTTGTTTGTGTACAAACTAATACAGTATCAGAATTTCACATATTTATACTTCTCATTCAACACAATTATATTCACTCTATCTAGGAGGCACAATTTATATGGATAGTATTAATTTTTTACAATAACAAGCTGGAATGAAAACAAGCAGAAATGACATAAAAGTAAAAACTTTCTACTTCTTGCTTTTTAAAACATGTAGTGAGTACAAAGTACAAATAACTGTGTGAAAATGTAAGAAGTAAAATGTAAACTGAAAAATATTTACTCAAGTAAATTACAGATACCCCAAAATTCTACTTA